AGTTTATATATTATTTAATTCTAGATATTATATATAATATAAACATATAAAAATATATAACTATATAATATATAAATATGTATCACATATAAACAGTATATTACATATACATGTAAACAAGAGAGACAGGGAAACAGGCCGAGATGCGGCCCCCTCCAGTAGGGTGCTGACACTGCCGTCCACCCAGTCGGCTCATTCAGGGAGGTCTCTGGACACGAACCTCCAGCCTTTCCATGCAGGTCAGCCTCACAGCGTGGGAAGTTTGGCCCCTGTGCCACCATCCAACCCCAACTACTGAGCATTATTGAAGGTTTGCTTAGTTGTGCCTGGCATGGTGCTGAGTGTTTTACTTATGGTATCTCATGCAATCCTCAAATATTTCGTACATAATCCTTACAATTCTGTGGAGTCAGGAATACTATCATCCTCCATCCCTGTTTAACTTAGAGAAGACTTCTACACAATACAAAAACCTCTGAAGGTCCATCACATCTTCCCTATGGGTAGAAGACAGGCCTGGGATATGTAATCATAAGAGTAGGTCTAAGATGACACCTAGCGGTCTCAGAGGATATTACCATAGATACTTCAAATGTCCCCAAGTTCTGTCTTACTATGAAATTCACATTTTCTGAAGAAAACAAAATGAAATAAAATTAAACTCTAGCTCCTTTCTATCTGTTAATTTATGACCTTATCCAAGTCATTAAACTTTGGGGTTAAAGTAATAGGGCCAGGCTCATAACCTAGCAGTTAAGGTAGCTGGCTCCCTCATGGCTGACCACAGTCAAAATCCTAGCCCTGGGAGCTTGAAAAACATGCCGGGCACATGTGCATGTGAGCCCAACATTCCAAGAGGATGGAGAAGTAGCGGAGAAGGTACTGCAGCATGACCACGACCCATTGCAGGGAGCTTTCGCCCTCTCTGGTGAGGGCATGTACTCGCTGGCAGTTAAAAAAACAAGCAAACAAAAAAGTAAAATAAAACAAAAGGACTAGATTAGATAGTCTAAATTTCTTCCAATTCCAAATTCTGTAATTATTTTATTAAAATCCATGATTTCTTTCTTTCTTTTTTTTTGAGAGATTTTGTACTAGGATGTGTGCACTCACTGGAGAGTCAAGAGAGACAGAAAGCAAGAAATTACCCCCCCAGAGGATGGCCACACCTCAATTCCTTCATTTTCCTCGGGATTTGGGGCATGCACGCACGCACATACACCTAGTGTGAGTTTTAAGCTGCTGGGTCCCGAACTCGTACTGCAGTCAACTACATGGGAGTCCAGCGATGTAACCATTACACCATCTGCTGATCTCCAAATCCATGATTTCTTGATTATTTATGTATAATTTACTGATTGAAAGTGTTCATTGCACCAAATCAATTTAACTGAATGATAACTAATTTAACTAAAATGAGGGAAATATAAGGGGATTTTAAAAAGCTCATGGAAAACTAGAATTAAAGTACACATTAAAGGGGCCAGCAGGTGGCATGGTGGTTAGGAGCACTGGACTCCCACATGGCCGACCACGGTTCAAGTCCCGGACCTGGTGGCTTGCTTTCTCACTTGCTCTCTCTCCTCTTGCTCTGTCCCTCTCTGGTCAAATTAAAATGAAATAAATAAAGTTCAATAAAATATTTTTTTTTAAAAAGTACATGTTAAATTTGGTGCAAAAAAATTTTAAATCCAGACATAGTAATTTCAGGATACCCGTTTTCTGTAAATGATTTGAAGACCCTTGTGTAAATATAAACGAGACAGCTGCAGATGTCGTAGCAGCAGATGGACACTTGACAGGCAGCCCCGGAGCACAGAGACGGCGTCTGCCCTGTTTACAGTGCTGAGAACAGCGCTCAGTCACAGCCGGTACCGGAAGGAAGCTGAATGGGTACTGGCTAAGAGAAAGGGCACAATGATTATTTCCACGTTTCAGTCTACCAGATGAAAAATACGCTCTATGGCAAAAACAAACAAATAAATAAATATTTTAAAAAAGGGAAACTTGGTTGTGCCGATTGGTCATACCAATTAACTTCTTTTATTTTGAAAATTTTGCGAGAGGGCACATGTGCTCATTGCAGAGAGACGGAGAGAGAGAGAGAGAGAGAGAGTAAGAAAGTACCCCTTGCCCCACCCCAATCCCTTCTTCTCTGTCTCTCCTTTCAGGATCTTGGCCATGCACTTACACGTGCCCAGCGTGATTCTCAAGCCGCCAGGTCCAGGACTTGAACAGCGCAGTCAGTCATGTGGCATCCATCCGCCTCAACCACCACACCACCAGTTGGCCCATGCATTTTCAATTTAATTAGCATGAAGTTGCCTGTAGGTCTCATGATTTTTCTCTCTTGTCCCCTGTTTTGTTTGTTTGTTTGTTTGTTTGCTTTTAATCTCTACTGTAGGGACCAGCAGGTGGTGTGGTGGTTAAGGTGCTGGGCACTCCCACATGGCCGACCAGGGTTCAAGTCCTGAATCTGGTGGCTTGCTTTCTCGCTTCCTCTCTCTCTCTCACTGTCACCCTCTGTCTCTCTCTGGTCAAACTAAATCTCTACTGTATTGGTGGTCGTATCCCCACTCTCAAGCCTGCTATATGTCAGGCATGGTCATTTAAGAATTATTTTGTTATTATTATCAATATTATTATTTTTAATTTGATGAGAGAAAGAGAGGGAAAATGGGAAAGTAAGCTGTTAGGTCCAGGGCTCGAACTGCAGTTGCCCTGTGGGAGTCCAGTGCCTCAACCCCGTGCCACCTGCCGGCCCCCACAGCCAACTCCTTCTTCTTCCTCGCTGCGCTCCCACCGCCTTCTCCCAGGCTCTCCTCCGCCCCTCGCTGTGCTACTTGCCTGTTCTTTTTACCATTTCCTCAGTTTTTCCTTCATTTCCCATTTCCTAACTTTTCATTTTAAACAATTATTTTTAAATCTCTGCTGGTTTATTTTCTGAAAGCAGTGTGATTCTAATTTCCCCCTGGGTGGACTGTTCCACATATTTCGTAATTTGGGTATGTGACTTCACCTTTGGCAGGTTTGTTTAATTACCAACATTTTTCATTCCTCTTAATAAACATAGTCATAGTTTCTGGTGACTTCTACAACTCCAATGAAAAGTACCATATATTCTTACATGGATTTTTAAAAAATAGCATCTCTTTGAAATTGCTGACTTCTATTTCTTTTCTTTTATTTTTTTGAGAGATTTTTGCCATAGGCTACATGTGCTTACTGGAGAGACAGAGAGACAGAAGACAAGAAATCATTCCCCAGAGGTCATGGCCACACTGCAATCCCTTTTCCTCCTTTCTTCTTTGGGATTTTGGGCATGCTTGCACACGTACCCAACATGAGTTTCAAGCCACTGGGTCCGGGACTTGCAGGGTCAACTATGTGGGAGTCCAGCACCTTAATCACTATGCCTGCCCCCCTCCATTTCTTGATAGTCATCATCACTCCTACAAATAATCTCACTGAAGTGAGTTCTTAGGAAAAAGGGGACTAGTGTGAAGTCTTCCCAATGTGCTGCTAGAAAAGCCTTAAGTATTCTGATAACTGGGCCCCTTCAGAAGTCCTGGGGTCTGTAAAATGGAGAGAAAGAAAGGAAAAGAAAACACCGACAACATCAGCAGTTATCTGGTCTCTTCCTGGAAAGCTGCTGCACACCCATCTGGTGGGGGACTGAGGAGAGCTGCAGGATTACCTTAAACCTGTAAGCTTTCTAAATCCTTTCGGGAATCTTCTGTTGTCACTTTAGAGTCAGCAAAAGCCTGGTAACTGGGTCACCTTGCTCTTGTGGCTTCCCCTGGCCCAGCAGTAGAAGAACGTGGCTCGGTGCAGTGCTACGGCCCCCTCCCTCCGCGGCCCCAGGCCTCCCGCGCACCCACCAAGCGTTGCCCTTTTCCCGGGTCTAGCTGGGCTCCTTCCTGAGTTCGTCATTCCCTCTTTCAACTTAGCAACATCCACCCTTCCAAAACCTCATGCGATGCTGCCGCTGCTGCTGCTGGTGGTGGTTGGCGGGGGAGGGGGGTCTTTCTTCATCATTTTACTGGCGGCACCAGCAACGGTGTTTTAATTGAGTGATGGATTAGATAGAAGGCTCAAGTCACACACACACAAACTCAAATCACTGTGACAGGTGAGATTACATTTCCGACTTAATTAACCAAAGGGAAAAAATCATCTGGAGTGGAGTAGCCTGTGGTACTCTGTGAGTGACAGGTGTAAGGGAACCCACAGAAATCTTCCGGGGTTGCTACACCTTCCATACCTCTGTCTTCCAGCAGCAATTCAGAAAGAGACAATGCACCAACCATTGCACGAGACTCTCTGGGATTTGTAATTAAACATCACCACAGCCACATGGCTACCACGTTGTAAAATGGGATGTCATGAACGGATAAAGAATCAGTGCCCAGGATTCCTAAAAACTACCTATGCCATAAGCTTGTCAACATGCCAGAAAGCCCCCTCCCTACAAGGTAGCTGTTAGTACCATGAGGACTTTAAAAAGATTAAATATTGAGGCAAATTGTCCCAGGGCTTAAACTACTCCTCTAGGGTGAAGTGACCCGTTCATGTCTATTAAAATCCCATTCCCAAACTCCTCAGTTTTATGTGGGTCTACCTTCTCCACTACATAAAGAACTTGGGACCAGCAGATGGCATAATTGTTACATTGCTGGATTCCAATGCAGTCGATAACAGTTCAAGTCGCAAACTCGGAGGCTTAAAAACACACCAGATGCATGTACATGCCTGCCCAAAATACCAAGAGGAGAATGGAGAAGGGATTGTGACATGGCCATCCGCCCCGAGGAGTAATTTCTCACTTTCTGTCTGTCTCTCTGTGTCTCTCTGTCTCTCCATCTCTGTCTCTCCAGCAAGTGCACACACTCTACAGCAAAAATCTCTCTAAAAAAAAAAAAAAGATCCTGGGACCAGCAGTTAGTGTAATGGCTATGTCACTGGCCTCCCATGTAGTCGATCGCGGTTCAAGTCCTGGACCCAGTGGCTTAATCTCACGCCAGGCGCGTGTGCGTGTGTGCCCAAGATCCCAAGAGGAGAATGGAGGAGAAGGGATTGCGGCATGGCCATCCCCCCTCGGGGGTGATTTCTCGCTTTCTATCTCTCTGTCTCCCTCTGTCTTTCTGGCGAGTGCAAGTGCCCTATAACAAAAACCTCTAAAAAAATAAAGATCCTTGTGGAAGGACAAGCTCCTCCCACATCTGTCTCCTTTTCTCCTCAGTGCCCAGCATCGAGTTGAAGTTAAGTTTTTGCAAATGATAAACTCTTGGCTTTAGCTTAATTAAGTGTGCCAATGACAATAAATTTAAATAGTAGTTCAGAGACATCGCTGAATAGTGGTGTTGGTGGTGTCCCCTTCTTTAAGGGGTGCTGTTCCTATTCTAAGCAATACCCTCGCAGCCTAAAAGAGCTGATGGCGCTTCCTGAAGTGCCTGTGTGAAGAACTAAAATAATCGGCTCAATGTGTGTCACAGTATTACATCTGGCGTCTTCTCTGTATTTTATCTACTAGACCAAAAAGTTTGCAACCTACGTTGTTGCTGCTGGACTTCAGTATGGATTGGAAGGAGGCATCTTGCATGTTTTCTTTAAGGTATGACCTTTTATTGGTTTTGTAGTTTTTGTTTGTTTGTTTGTTTGTTTTGAGAGTTTTTTGCTATAAGGCGTGTACGCTCTCCAGAAAGACAGAGAGAGACAGAGAGACAGAAAGCGAGAAATCACCCCGCAGGGGGGATGGTCATGCCACAATCCCTTCTCCTCCATTCTCCTCTCGGGATCTTGGGCACACACGCACACGCGCCTGGCGTTGAGTTTAAGCCACTGGGTCCGGGACTCGAACTGACTGCGGTCGACTACATGGGAGTCCAGTGACATAGTCATTACGTCAACTGCTGGTTCTGGTTTTGCATATTTTGAAAAGTGATGTCTAAGGCCAGCCCCATAGCACAGCAGTTAAGTGCATACACAGAAAGCAAAAGCCCACATGGCTGACTGCAGTTCTAATCCCAAACCCTGTGGCCGGAAAAACAACCCAGGCACATGTGTGTGTGTATGTCCCAAATGCTGACAGGATGGAGAAACGGAGGAGGGACTGCAGCGTGAACATGCCCCATTGGGGGGCTTTCTCTCTCTGGCAAGTGCATACACTCTCTGGTGATTTTAAAAAACTGTTTCATTGTAAGGATATACAATTTGACATTGTTTCCCATTGCCTCTGGACGTGGCCAGTTCAGTATAATAGAAGAAAAAGGAAAATATGGAGGTCGGCCATAACCACCTATTTTTCTTTCCCATTATTAACAACTTGTATTCATCACTCTCACAATAATAAAGAAAAAGATGACTCTTTTAGAAGACAAGTATTGATGGAGTGCCCTGTGCCACGTGCCAAAAACAGCTGGAAGTACTGGGGATATAATCAGATAACAAAGCTCTGCTTGTTCCAGCCTGTTCTGTTAGGGATAAAATCTGAGTCTGGGTAATTTATAGAAGTAGAGGCTTACTAAACCCACAGTGTAGAGGCCCTGGGACTGCATCTGCGGAGGGTCTTCTTGCTAGTGGGTAACTGGGTAACGTGGCCGAGGGCCTCACACGCGGACGGGCAAGAGCTTGAGCAGAGCCATGCATGGCCCTGTGTCTGCTCCGGTCTCGTCCCCTTTCCGTACAACCCTCTCACGAGTCAACCAGCGGGCCACGCTCTGATCACTTTAATACTAATCTGTTTCCAGAGACCTGACTTTTCAGCACTGCAGTAGCATTAAGTTTTCACCACCTAAATTTTATCACAAATCTCAACATATGGATTTAGGGAGGGCATATTCAAACCATAGTACCGCTCTTGTGGAGCTTCCACCCTAGTGGAGCAGAGGAGGTCATATGGACAGTGAGCAGAGAAGCCAGTACATACCGAGCATTGCAGGAAAGCAAAGCTGAGAAGGGTCAACGGTGCCAGAGGTAGGGCTGTAGGTGGGAGGTTGTATCTTATCCTGGGTGGTTGGAAAAGTCGTGACATATTTTTCTATGTTTTTCTATGCAAAAATGTGTCACGACTTTTCTGACAACCCAATATGTGAAGATTGAGACAAGGTCTTTTTTTTTTTTAATTGCCAGAGGGAACATATACTTCCCAGAGAGAGACAGATAGGGAGAAAGCATGCCCAATGGGGCATGTTTATGCCCATTTTCTCCTTCTGTTGGGATTTTACACAAGCATTCACACATGCCTGGTGTTTTTCAAGCTGCCAGGGCCAGGATTTAAGCCATGGTCAGCCATGAGGGATCTGGCTCACTTAACCATTAAGCTATAAGGGTGGCCCTATATGCAAATTGTGGGTTTTTTTAAAGAGAGATTTTTGCTGGGACCAGCAATTAGCATAATGGCTATGCCACTGGACTTCCACGTAGTCAACTGCAGTTCGAGTCCAGGATCCGGTAGCTTAAACTCACGCCGGGCGCATATGTGTGCGTACCCAAGATCCCGAGAGGAGAATGGAGGGGAAGGGATTGCGGCATGGCCATCCCGCCTAGGGGGTGATTTCTCACTTTCTATCTCTCTGTCTCCAGTGAGTGCACGCGCCCTATAGCAAAAAACCTCTCAAAAATAAAAGAAGATTTTTGCTATAGTGTGCATGCACTCACTGGAGACACAGAGAGAGACACAGACACAGAAAGTGAGAAATTACCTCCTGGGGGGATGACCACACTGCAATCCCCTCTCCATTTTCCTCATGGGATCTTGAGACGCATGTGCACGTGCCTGGTGTGAGTTTTTAAGCCACCAGGTCCAGGACTTGAACTGTGGTTGACTACATGGGAATCCAGCGATATAAACATTATGCCATCTGCTGGTTCCTCCTATATGCAAAATATTGAAAGAAGGTTCTCTAAGCCAATATGAGTGACCATATCCCACAAAACACAAACTCAACAAGCCTTACGAAAATGATCTGAAGAGATTAGATTTCCTTGTGTGTTTTATTCATTTCAGGAAAGCAGAAGTTAAAAGCAAAGTTGTAAATCAAGACAGGGAGGTTATACATTGGTTAGGCCCAAAAAGGCAGGAATTGACAGGTCATAGGCAGATGAAAAGAATTTTTTAGTCTGCTATTGGCTAAAAAGATCAAGGCTTTGTTTAAAATTTGAAGTCAGCACGAAGGAATGCTTGAGCTTAATCTTAACAGAAATAAAGGAGTTTACTGATTATCACCTGATCTTACACCAGCCTCGGCACACAAAGGTGAGCTGCAATTACTGACGCGGGTGACCTGATGGTATGCAGGTTTGATTCCCTCTGAGCCGGCTAGGAAGGAATGTTAGAACAAAGAAAAGTGGCCAGAGTTCAGCAGTCTCTACTAACACACACAATTTAAAAAAAAAAAAAATTCTTTAGAGTTTTTTTGGTGGATTGGGTTTTACTTTTTTAGTTTTTTTGCTACAGGGCACATGTGCTCACTAGAGAGAGACCGAGAGACAGAAAGTAAGAAACCACCTCCCAGGAGGGATGGCCATGCCACCGTTCCTTCTCCGTTCTCCTATCCAGACTCTGGGTACACATGCACACGCACAAACGCCCAGCATGAGTCTCAAGCCACCAAGTCCAGGACTCCAACTGCAGTCAACCACGTGGGAGTCCAGCTCCTCAACCACCATGCCAGCCGCTGGGCCCACACACAATAACATTTTTAAAGAGAGAGAGATGACAGCTTAAGAAGATAAGCTAACGAAAGCTCATTCTCATCTGCTCTCAGCTTCTGACCCACCTGACCACTGAATGCTGGTGCTCTCAGAGCTCTGCCCTAGGCCCTTCTATCTTCTCCGTCTATACTTCACTCTCCTCCAGTTGGTCTGTTTATTCCCAGACTGGTCCCAGAGTCTCCAGCTGGGATCCTTGTCCTAAGTTCTAGCTCTGTAGGTTCAGCTGCCTACCCAGCACCTCAACCAAACTAAATATACAGTCACCCCCAAACCTCCTCTTCCTATAGTGTCTCATCTCAGAAAATGGGGCCACCTTTCACTTAGCTGTGCTGTCAGAATCCAACTTCTCCCTCCTCCCTCATCACAGACCCCCAGGCGCTGTTTGTACCATCAGCCTCCTCTCCCTCTACCCGCAGTCCAGCTGCACTGCTCCCCTGCCCTTCGAGCAGGCTGAACCACCTCTGGCTTGCACAATTGTCAAAGCCTTTATTTCCCCATTAGACAGACCTCCAACCATTCCTTCACAAAAATAAGAGGCCATCCAGACATAGCCAAATTTATTGGAGTTTATTGGTTAAGCCAGCGGCATGGCTGGGGGAAGACTCCTGTCTCTCAAAACCCCGCAGTCCCAAGCACAAGGTGAGGGGTGATTATAAAGGCAAAAATCACACTCTTTTCCTGGCTGGGGCAATCACAAGAATGAACAGGGTGGGCTCGAAAGGGTAGGGGGTGGGGTTTTACAATGTAAAAGCAAAAAGCAAATTACAGAAGCAAAACAGGCAGGTTAATCATTTCTAAGGGGATGTTCCATCCCTACCTAAACACAATGGAATCTTAATGGTCTTCATGGCTCAGGGCAAGGGGTCTGGCGATGGATGATTACATCACTAAGGCACATTTTGGGGTAGGGAGTTTCAGGTTATTTAGCAAAGACCAGAGTGTTAATCACTCTGCTTACTCTAGGCCAAAGGAGAAAGCAAGTTTCCAATATAGAGAAGAGTTCTAAATGGAGGTCTGCATTCAGTAAGAAGTCATCCCTCTAGGGGGATGGCCATACCACAGTCCCTTCTCCATTCTCCTCATGGAATTTTGGGCACACACACGTGCCTGGCATGATTTTCAAGCCACTGGGTCCAAGACTTGAAATACATAGTAAGCCATGTGGGATCCAGCTGCCTTAACCACCACACCACTGGCTGGCCCTTCCTCCTCCTCCTTCTTCTCCTCCTCCTCCTTCTTCTTTTTTAAATGTTTATTTGTTTTACTTCTTCCATGAGCAAGAGAAAGCAAGAAATAGGTCCATCCAGCATGGTTTGACACACCCCCCTTCAGCTAGCCCTGATCGTGGGCAAATGCGTGCTGGGCATATTCAGTCTCCACTCTTGAACGAGGAACCTTCCCATGTGGAACTGTCTTGCAGAGCATCACGTTTCACTGCTGTGCTGTCGTCCAGTCCCCCTTTCACTATTAACAATTAAAAATAACCTAATACACAGAGCCAGCAGGGAGTGTGGTGGATGAGGGCGCTGGATTCCCACATGGCCAACCATGGTACGAGGCCCGGACCTGGTGGCTTGCTTTCCCGGATTTCCTTTCTCTCTTTCTCTGGTCAAATTAAAAAATAACAATAAAAATAACAAATGGAATTAAGTAATTCTTTAAAAACATAATCTAATACATGCCATTTAAACAGTAGTCAGCATGTCTACTTGATTACTGAAATACTTACTGGTAGGGGAAGAAAAAAGGGAAAGACAAGGACTTGAACTCTGAAGATGGGAGTTCCAACCTAGGCTCAAGACCTTCCCACAAGTGAAATCTCCCACAAGATAGTTCATCTACTAAGCACTTCATCTGTGAACTGATGGTAATTAATCCCATCGATGGGGGGGGCAATTTTTAAATTCAGTCTAATTCTTTCGTGAGAGTTAAAGGCCTCATGCATATGAAAGCATTTCCGCCCCATGCACAGGATATGCAGATAACGACTAACCGCCAATGAGGGGATAGATTTCTCAGAAAGCATTTCAGTCCTGAGGTTACTCTTTATTTCTCTTCAGAGGATTTGGATCCTAAATCTCATTAGGACCAAGTTTCAGAACATCTAGAGGAGATTCCTTCAGCAGATAGATCTTTTGGGTCTCCTGACTGTGTAACTGCAGGAAATGCTTTTGCTTTTTTTAAATTTTAGTTGGCTTGGCTGGGCGAGGTTCCTGCATTACCTGTATTTGGAGATGGAACGAATGTAATTCCAACAATCCACGTTCTTGATCTCGCAGGGTAAGAATTCTCCCAGAGCTATGACTGTGCTAGATGATTAACATGTTTGTTTGTAAGCTAACATTTATAGAGCTTTTTCCAAGTGCTTATATGTATTTATTCTCCCTGGAAACCAAGACACTAACATACTCTGCACATTCCTAATCCAAAATGCTCCTACATTTGAAACTTTGAACACCAACAAGATATGACAAGTGGAAAATTGCCCATGATCTCATGGGATGGGTCACAGTCAAAATGCTGCAACACAAAAATATTGAATAAGCTTACCTTCACACAATGCATAACGATGGACAGGAAACATAAATGAACTTGGTGTTTGCCTTGGGTCTCATCTCCAAGATATCTCAGTGTATATATGCAAATATTCTAGATCCCAAAACGTCTGAAACACTCTGGTCCCAAGCGTTTCGAGAAGGGATGCCCCATCTGTAGAACCTCCATGTTGTACCCGGTGAAATAGTGTCAGAAAGTTTCACACTTCTGAAGACAAGTGCAGGGGCATCTCTCAGAAACCTTGTCAGTGGAATAGCAGCGCCGGGAAGGAAAGAAGTTGGTGCGTGTATCTGGGGAAAACATTGGGGCGTCAGGGAAGTCAGGACATATTTTTTCTATGTCTTTCTGTGGGAAAATGTGTCATGACTTTTCTGCCGACCAATGGTTTCTTATTCCTTGGTCCCCGATGAGATTGATATATCCAGTATACCAACTTAAGTTCCAGGAATCAGACAGCAAACTTCAAACCTAAAGTAGGTTTCTTCTTTTTTAGCACACACAGGTGGAGTTGAGGTGACCGATATCCAAGTATAGACACTGCCTAGCCTGTCGGACCAAAGATTCTGGAGAGTATTGGGGAAGTCAGGACTAGCTGTAGCCTTGGAAGTCCTCAGTCTATGGATGGCATTTATTTTTTATTTATTTTAAAGAATTATTTATTTAAGTTTATTATTATTATTGAAAATGTGTATAGTCATGAGAGAGAGAGAGAGAAAGTGAGAAAGCAAACCACCAGGTCCAGGACTCAAACCACAGTTGGGACCAGTAGTTAGCATAATGGCTATGTCGCCGGACTCCCATGTAGTTGACCGCGGTTCGCATCCCGGACTTGGTGGCTTAAACTCACGCCGGGCGCGTGTGCGTGCATGCCCAAGATCCTGAGAGGAGAATGGAGGAGAAGGGATTGCGGCGTGGCCATCCCCCCTGGGGGGTGATTTCTCACTTTCTGTCTCTCTGTCTGGCAAGTGCATGCGCCCTATAGCAAAAACCTCTCAAAACAAAAAAAAAAAAAAAACCCACACAGTCAGCCAGGTGCGAGTCCAGCACCTTAACCACCACGCCACCTGCTGGGCCCTATAGATGACATTTAAGTTGACGGGACTGGGTGGTATCATGTAGAGAATGACTATAGAGAAGAGAAGAGGTCTAGGCTGAGTCAGGACACTCCCATATTTGGAGGTTGCAGATGAGAAGGTGAGAAGAGGTGCTTTGGTGGTGAGAGGGAGAACAGAGGAGAGATATCAAAAAACAAGTGAAAAAATTATTCTCTCTCTGGCCAGCATACACACTCTATAGCAAAACAAATTAAAAAGAAAAGTTGTAAATTGTATCAAATGCTGCAGATAGTCAAGGAAGATGAGACTTGAAAATGAGCTATAGGACTTTTGGAGGATGGGGTTTTTCTCACATTCACAGAGCATCCCAACCCTCTGCCCAGGCAGGTCTGGAGCCCCATCTCCTTTAAGACTGACTTGCAGGTCCAGCAGGTGGTGTGATGGTTGAGGGCGCTGGACTCCCACATGGCCAACTGTGGTTCAAGTGTCAGACCTGGCGGCTTGCTTTCTCACTTTCTCTCTCTCTCTCAATCTGCCCCCTCTGGTCAAATTAAAATCAATAAATTAATTAATTAATTAAAGTTAAGTAAAATAATTCTTAAATAAAAAAGGCAGGCTTGCATCCTATGTCAATGAGCCTTGGTAGTGCTGCACTCAAGGGGTCTCATTCTTTCACAGCCTAGCTGGATCCCAGGAAAGGAAAGAGACAGGAAGGAAAGAAGAAAGAAGAAACAGGAAGGGCAAAGGAAAGGGACAGGAAGGAGCCACTTTTCCCCTCCTTGGGGTTCCGGCCTCCAGGTTCCCACTTTGTGCTTACCTACTGGCCCTTAAATCCCAGACAGGTTTGCAGACTTACTGGAAACTAATGAGGCTTCAACCCACTCCCTGTGTGGGTCCCTTTCAAGATCTTGAACCTAATTTGTATTCTTGTTCTGAAGATCCCTTAAATGTAAGTTTCTGGCCCCACAAAACCTAGATCTGCTGCAGCCAACATTAACACTGGGCACAGAGGGGGTGAAATATGTCCTTTTCTGCAGGGGGCTGATGTATTACATTACCAGGTTCTAAAGATGTGAGTTTGTTATATTGTTATTATTGGGTTGTCGGAAAAGTTATGGTGCATTTTTGCATAGAAAAACACAGAAAAATGCATCATGACTTTTCTGCCAACTCAATATTATTATTTTAGATTTTTACCATAGGGCATGTGCACTCCCCAGAGAGAGAGAGAGACAGATAGAAAGAAATGAGACATCCCCTCCGGGGGTGGGGTGTGTGTGTGTGTGTGGCCATGCCACAATCCCTTCTCCATTCTCCTCTCAGGATTTTGAGCATGCATGCACAAGCACTTGGCGTGTCTCTTAAGCCACCAGGTCTGAGACTCGAACTACAGAGTCAGCCATGTGGGATCCAGATCTTAACCACCAAGCCACCTGCTTGCCCCAACTTACACTTTTACTCACCATTGCTGGTCTCTGAAATTCTTTAACTCATGTCCAAATCCCAGCTCGGCCTCTCACTGGCTGTGTGGATTTGGGAAGATTACATAACCTCTCTGTGTCTGATTTTCTCATTTCTAAGATGGGGATAGCAATAGTACCGATCTAACAGGGTTGTTGGGATTGGGTGTGGTAACACCTGCACAGTCCTGAGCACAGTCCTGGTACAGAGTTAAGCACTCAGAAAGGTGGGCAGCCATTCATTCAGAATAGGCGACCTTGGGCTCAGCCACTCTTTTGCTGTGTGGCTTCCTTAAAAGAGGCACAGCATCTCTGAACCAGAGTCTTGTCTGTAAAAGACCTACTCCAAAGCACGGTTGCGAGACTCTGATGAACCACTGAGTGGGCAGGGCCTTGAGAAACTGAAGTCTTATTGTGGTCAGGCCCTTTGCTGGATGGTAGTGCCAAGTGTACTAGAGAGAAGACAGGATCGGGAGCCGGGCTGGGTCTGACTTGAAACGTTGGCTCCTCCACCTTCCCGGTGGAGAAATATCACCTAACTCTTTAACACCTTCCTCACCTGTAGCGTGCAAATAATGATGCCAACCTTGGCCATGCTGAAAATTAAATGCGGGAACTTATGAAAGCACTAAACACTGTGCCTGGCCCCCGGACTGGGCAGTGTCCTGTGAAGTCCAGCTGACCACATCGGTTTCTCTTCTGCCCTCTGGTGATTACCCTTCCTGTTGGTCTGCAGGGTTATACAAAACGTAATAGACCACGTGCCAAAGCTTCACTACCTGGTTGCTGTGGACGAGTCTGTTCACACCCTGGAAGACATTGTTAAGGTACGATGATGTCACCCTTACTTCCATCGTGTCCCTAAAACAGTTTTACCACCTAACGTAAAGTTTGGGAACCAGTTTTTTGCTAAGAGGCCTGAAGTCTCCTAAAATGGAATATCCTAAACCCATTCTCTACATCTGCAGTATACGCTCTGGGAAATTACTTCCAGGTAGCCTTTCTCCTGTGTATGCATGGAAGGAACCAAGAAAGGCCACCACAGGGATTGTCACACCTCAGACACACACAGGTGACACTGGAATGCTAAAATGTGTCTGCAGACATTGGCTCCAAAGTATCCACATGGTCAGACTCACCAACCCACTGTCACTTCCGGGAGCTCCAGGTCTGGGAGGGCTACCTCTCCCAGTCCAGGTCACCTTGGCTAAAATCCCATCTTGTATCCCAACTAGCCGAGCTAGCGTGACCTTCTGCCCTTCCCCTGCCACTCCCAACTCATCTTTAAGATTCCACTTAGGCATCTTCATCTGCCCCCTGCCTCTCACCCCCACTTCCTGCACAGGCCAGACGCTTCTCTCTCTCTCTCTCTCTCTTTTTGGAGAGGTTTTTGCTATAGGGCACGTGCGCTCGCCAGAAAGACAGAGACAGAGAGAAAGAAAGTGAGAAATCACCCCCCACAGGGATGGTCATGCTGCAGTCCGTTCTCCTCCATTCCCCTCTCGGGATCTTGGGCACGCACGCACATGCACCTGGCATGAGTTTAAGCCACTGGGTCCAGGACTCGAACCACAGTTGACTTCATGGGAGTCCAACGACATAGCCATTACGCCAACTGCTGGTCCCCAGATGCTTCTCTTCTGTATTCCCCAAAATGTTTCAGTCTCTTCAGGCTGCTACAACACAAACCTTAAACTAAACGGCTTATAACAACAGAAATTTATTGCTTACAGTTCTGGAGACTGGAAAGTCCAAAGTCAGATTCAGGCAGATTCAGTGTCTGGTGAAGGTCCTCTTTTTAGCTTCATAGATGTTACCTTCTGTCTGTGTTCTCACAGGGCGGAAAGGGCAAGGGGGCTCTCCCAGACCTTTGTATAAGGGGTTGATCTCATTCCTGAGGGCTCTACCTCATGACTAGTCACCTCCCAAAGGGCTCAGCTCCTAATACCGAAGTTCTGGGAAATACCCGTCCTGGGAAAATCCAGAGAGTACCCAAAGAACATGCTTTCCTAACCAAGGACTTAACAGTTAGTATGTTAGAGGGGTTTATTTGTTTGCTAATTATTTCCCTAAATATCTTGGTCTGTTTTTGCATTGCTAACAGAAATCCCTGGGCGTGGGTGATTTTATAATCTGGGGGTTAGGGTTTCAATGTGTGAATTTTAGGGGCACACAAACATTCAGACTGTCAAGAGACAAAAATCACAATAAACTTATAGATAAAATTGGTTTATATTCATGAACCCAGGAGGTCTCTCTTTTACAAAATAGAGTGAGTGCTCCCACTGCTTGGTAGATCAGATAGGCCAGACGCTTCTCTCTCTCTCTCTCTCTCTTTTTGGAGAGGTTTTTGCTATAGGGCACGTGCGCTCGCCAGAAAGACAGAGACAGAGAGAAAGAAAGTGAGAAATCACCCCCCACAGGGATGGTCATGCTGCAGTCCGTTCTCCTCCATTCCCCTCTCGGGATCTTGGGCACGCACGCACATGCACCTGGCATGAGTTTAAGCCACTGGGTCCAGGACTCGAACCACAGTTGACTTCATGGGAGTCCAACGACATAGCCATTACGCCAACTGCTGGTCCCCAGATGCTTCTCTTCTGTATTCCCCAAAATGTTTCAGTCTCTTCAGGCTGCTACAACACAAACCTTAAACTAAACGGCTTATAACAACAGAAATTTATTGCTTACAGTTCTGGAGACTGGAAAGTCCAAAGTCAGATTCAGGCAGATTCAGTGTCTGGTGAAGGTCCTCTTTTTAGCTTCATAGATGTTACCTTCTGTCTGTGTTCTCACAGGGCGGAAAGGGCAAGGGGGCTCTCCCAGACCTTTGTATAAGGGGTTGATCTCATTCCTGAGGGCTCTACCTCATGACTAGTCACCTCCCAAAGGGCTCAGCTCCTAATACCGAAGTTCTGGGAAATACCCGTCCTGGGAAAATCCAGAGAGTACCCAAAGAACATGCTTTCCTAACCAAGGACTTAACAGTTAGTATGTTAGAGGGGTTTATTTGTTTGCTAATTATTTCCCTAAATATCTTGGTCTGTTTTTGCATTGCTAACAGAAATCCCTGGGCGTGGGTGATTTTATAATCTGGGGGTTAGGGTTTCAATGTGTGAATTTTAGGGGCACACAAACATTCAGACTGTCAAGAGACAAAAATCACAATAAACTTATAGATAAAATTGGTTTATATTCATGAACCCAGGAGGTCTCTCTTTTACAAAATAGAGTGAGTGCTCCCACTGCTTGGTAGATCAGATAGTTTTATAAGGTGGAGACAAAGAAACAGAAAAATAGAGGGGAAAAAACCCTGATTGGTTAACATCAGGTTACATCTTTTTGGGTAAGGGTTAAAGCAAAGGGGACTTCCTTACCATGCTGACTCAGGTAGACTGGACTCTCCTGTTTTCAGGAAAACCTGGTCTGTCTGGGAATCTATCTGCTTCCTTAAAGTTTCAGTTTGATCACGTGGCATTTAGCGTGAGTGACTCCATTTGGGTTGTCTCTGGTCTGTTGGGGCCTGGCGCAGGAGCTCAGTTGTAAACAATGGCTTCCCATAATGTTTAGCAAGACCCCAGCAGTCAATCTCATTTGCTGAGCTGCAAACGTTCCACGTGGTAATTGTCTGTCTCCCTTTTCAAACTGGCAGCTTTTTTTGTGGAGAGAGGTTTTTTGCTATAGGGCACGTGCGCTCGCCAGACAGAGACAGAGACAGAAAGCGAGAAATCACCCCCCAGGGGGGATGGCCACGCCTCAATCCCTTCTACTCCATTCTCCTCTCAGGATCTTGAACATGCACGCACATGTGCCTGGTATGAGTTTTAAGCCACTGGGTCCAGGACTCGAACCACGGTTGACTACATGGGAGTCCAGTGACATAGCCATTACGCTAACTGCTGGTCCCCAAACTGGCAGCTTTTTGAGTGCAGAACCCTGCATATTACTCCTCTATTTCCAGTACTTGGAATGTAGTGGTGATTATTAAAATCTTTGGAACAATTAAAGGAAACCTTTGGTCAGCTACCCTCTGTTTTCCAAATGCTATACTTTTTGTATTTAGTTATGTTCACATTCATTTGTGTTTTATATAAAACCTTACTGGTAAACCAAATAATATTTGTATTTTCCCCTAACAGTGCATCAGTAAAAATACCGGTCCTGGGAAAATCCAGAGAGTACCCAAAGAAAATGCTTTCCTAACCAAGGACTTGACAGTTAGTATATGAGAGGGGTTTATTTGTTTGTTCATTGTTTTCCTAAATATCTTGGTCTGTTTTTGCGTTGCTAACAGAAATCCCTGGGCCTGGGTGATTTTATAAAGACAGTTTATTTACAAACTCACAGTTTTGGTGGCCGGGAAGTCCAAAGCCTTAGGCCTATAGCACGGCTAACAGAAGCACAGAGGCTGGCCAGTGAGGGGAGAGGAAGAGCCAGCAGCTTGCGTTTTCTCTCTGTTATAATAACCAGTTCTCACGAGCACTGACCTCTTCTCACCAATCCCTTCTCCTCCATTCTCCTCTTGGGATCTTGGGCACGCATGCACATGCGCCCAGCATGAGTTTAAGCCACTTGGTCGGGACTCTAACCGTGGTTGACTACATGGGAGTTCAGTGACATGGCCATTACGCCAACTGCTGGTCCCCAGAGCACTCTTGAATCTTGCCTTCGGATGACATTTTTCTAGCAGACATCTGAACACTGCACCTGAACATATTTCTGTAAGGATTGCTATCACTGGTTGCCTTGAGGAGCAAGAACTGAGTGGGTGGTGGTCAGAGACCAGAGGGAGTACTTTCCTCTACTTCTTGTTTCTGGAAATTTTTTTATAGAGATTTTTGCTATAGGGCATGTGCACTTGCCAGAGAGACATAAGCAACAAGGTGTGTCACCCCCCCAGGGGCCATGGCCATGGCACAATCTCTTCCCCTCCATTCTCCTCTTGGAATTTTGGGCACGCATGCACACATGCCTGGCATGAATTTCAAGCCGCTGGGTCTGGGACTCAAACCATGGTCAGGATATGGGTGTCTGGCACCTTAATCACTATACCACCTACTGGTCCATGCTCTTAGAATTTTGAACCATGAAATTGCCCTATTCAAAAAGAAGGTGCAATTAACCATTTTTTATAAGACTCTCTTCTTCAGTATCATCCTTGTCTTTGAGCTGCTTGTCCAACCATGAGAGCCAGGGTGCTGCCAGCCAGAAGAGGGTAGACGTGCAGTGTTTAGGGCCTCACCTCTCACAATGAGTGCTCCGTAAATACTTAGTGTTGGATTAATTAACTTTTATGTTTAGCAAATGCATACATGTTTTTTTTTTTAATAACTGTCGTGATTTTAGCCTGTTATAACTGTCAAATTGAATTTTCCTTTATCTCTTAGCAAGAAAATATTGACCATTTGCTGGTCAACTTAAGAATGGAAGCGCTCTTTGTGAAGGAAAATTTTAACATCCGATGGGTTGCCCAGACAGGATTTGTGGAAAATATCAACAATATCCTTAAAGAGTACAAGCAAAGCAGAGGATTACTGGTAACTACAACCACTTCCTGTTTAATCCAAACAAAGCAAATGAAACTTGTAGTGTAATCACACTGATGATAATATTTACTTTTTATTTTTTTTAAGGTTTTTGCCATACACGTACTCCCCAGATAGAGAGAGTGAGAAGGAAAGTGAGAAATCACCCTCTACGGGGGAAGGCCACACCACAATTCCTCTTCCTCCATTCTCTCCTGGGATTCTGAGTACACATGCGCATGAACCCGGCTTGATTTTCAAGCAGCCAGGTTTGGGACTGGAACTGTGGTTGGCCATGTAGGAGTCCAGCGCCTTAACCACCGCACTACCTGCTGCCTGCTAAAAAATTAATTGACATAGGGAACCAGCAGTTAGCGTAATGGCTATGTCACTGGACTTCCACATAGTCGACCGCAGTTCACATCCCGGACCCGGTGGCTTAAAACTCACGCCGGGCGTGTGTGCGTGCGTGTCCAAGATCCTGAGAGGAGAATGGAGGAGAAGGGATTGCGGCGTGACCATCCCCCCTGGGGGGTGATTTCTCGCTTTCTGTCTCTATGTCTCTCTCTGTCTGGCTGGCAAACGCACGCGCCCTATAGCGAAAATCTCTCAAAAAAAATTAATTGACATATAATATTGGGTCATCAGAAAAGTCATGATGCATTTTGCATAGAAAAATATGAAAAATACGTCATGACTTTTTCGATGACCTAATAGCTCTGCACATTTCTGAGGTCCAGCCTGGTAGTTCAGTTCACGTAGACAATGCGTAATCATCAGATCAGGGCAGTGAACATATACACCGTCTCGGATATTTGTCTCTCTTTCTCTCTGTCTCTGTCTCTCTCCAGCAAGTGCACGTACCTTATAGCAAATTAAAAATGAAAAAAAGGTACTTTGGGGACTGGAGTCCCACATGGCCAACCACACTTTGAGTCCCAGACCCAGTGGCTTGAAACTCCTGCTGGCCACCCGTGTGTGCGTGCCCATGCCTAAGATCCCAGAAGGAGAACAGAGAATGGATTGCAGTGTGGCCATCCTCCTGGGGGGTGATTTCTCACTTTCCCTTTCACTGTCTATGTCTCTCTCTCTGGTGAGTGCATTCACCCTAAGGCAAAAACCTCTACAAAAAAAAAGGTACTTTCCTGGGGCTGGCAGGTGGCATGATGATTAAGGTGCTGGACTCCCACATGGCCAGCTGCAGTTTGAGTCCTGAGCCTGGCTCACTTTCTCTCTCTCTCTCTCTCTGGTGAGCACATGTGTCTCATAGCAAATTTAAAAACAATAATAATAAACAATAGTAACAATAATAATAATAAACAATAATATACACAATAATGAAAAACAATAATAATAAATTAAATTATTTCTTAAAATAAAAATAGGGGCAGGCAGGTGGTGTGCTGATTAAGGTGATGGTAAATAAGGCTGAACATGGTTTGAATCCTGGACCTTGTATGGCTTGCTTTCTCACTCTTCCTCTCTCTCTGTGTCTCTCTCGTCAAATTAAATAATAATAAAAAGAAATAAAATCAAATAGATAAGTATTTTTTAAAGAATTCATTCATTCATTCTTTTTTTTTAATTTGACCAGAGAGAGAGAGGGAGAGAGGGAAAATGAGAAAGCATGATGCCAGGTCCAGGATTTGAACTATGGTCAGCCATGTGGGAGTGTCCAGCACCTTAACCACCATACCACCTGTTGGTCCCCAATAAATAATTCTTTTTTAAAATTATTTTATTTTAACTTGATTTATTTATTTTAATTTGACCAGGGAGAGACAGACAGAGAGAAAGAGAGAGAGAGAGAGAGAAAGCAAGCCACCAGGTCCGGGACTCAAACCATGGTCAGCCATGCGGGAGTCCAGCGTCCTTAACCACAATACCACCTGCCGCCACCCCCCCAATAAATAATTCTTTTTTATTTAATTTTATTTATTCATTCATTTTATTTTTTAATTTGACCAGAAAGACAGAGAGAGAGAGAGAGAGAGAAAGTGAGAAAGCAAGACACCAGGTCCGAGACTTGAACCGTGGTCAGCCATGTGGGAATCCAGCGCGCTTATCCACCATGCCACCTGCCAGCTCCCCCAATAAATAATTCTTAAAAAAAAAAAAAAAAAACACACACACACAGATATTTCCCGTGGGCCAGCCCCATGGCCTGGTGGTTGAGGGAGCAGGATCGATATAGATGACCATATGGTTCAAATCCTAGTTCTTGCAGCTTGAAAAACACACCAGACAGGGACCAGCAGATGGCATAATGGTTATGTCACTGGACTCTCACCTAGTCAACTGTGGCTCAAGTCCTGAACCCAGAGGCTTTTTAAGTTTTACTCGTGCCAGTGCCAGGCGTGTGTTCATGACCAAAATCTGGAGAGGGGATGAAGGAGAAGGGATTGCAGTGTGGCCAGCCATCCTACCTGGGAGGCTGATTTCTCGCTGTCTGTCTGTCTCTCCAGCAAGCACACTTGCCCTATGGCAAAAGTCTCTCTAAACACGCGTGCACACATATACACACCACATATATGTGTGTGCATGCCCAGAATCCCAACATGAGGGATGTTGGCGTGACCATGCCCCATTGGGGGAGATGCTTTTTCTCTCTGAAATAAAACACTCTCTGTTTCTAGTTACAGACTCAGTTCCTACTCACCAAGTTTAGAGGTCACCCTCTGTGTTGCTTATTCTCCTCTTTCAGCCCATCAAGCTGTGTATGCTTGGCCCCCCCGCGGTGGGGAAGTCCAGCATTGCGGAGGAGCTGTGCAAGCATTACAAACTGCACCACATTAAACTGAAGGACGTCATCACTGAAGCCATAGCGAAACTGGTAACTCCTCTAACTGCTCCGCTGGGACTTTTTATATCTTAAAAATGCTTTTCTAAGTCTTAAGAAAACATGCCACTAATTTTATGTGTCAATCTGCAAAGTCGTTTGTTATTTTACTTGGGTTTGTTTTGGCTCCAGTTTTGAAAACACAGAATCCCATGGGGCTTTCCTTTGTAAGATGGAGACATCTTTTCTGGGTTGCGCTTGAAATTTTGTCTGCCTCCAACAGCTATTCAAAGCATACCTGCTAGGGGCCGGCAGGTGGCGTGGTGGTTAAGGTGTTGGACATAGCAACCTGCAGTTCAAGTCCCAGACCTGGTGGCTTGCTTTCTCACCTTCTCTCTATCTCTCTGGTAAGCACACATGCCCTATAGAAAATTTAAAAGTAAGAATAATACATAAAATAATTGTAAGAAATAAAAATACATACCTTATATTCTCTCTGTTGACCAGAACATGGTTAGAGTTTGTTTTATTTTTGGGGGGGAGATTTTTGCTATAGGGTACATGTGCTTGCTGGAGAGATAGAGACAGAGAGAGAGAAAGCAAGAAATCACCCCCCAGGGGTGATGGCCACACTGCAATCCCTTCTCCTCCATTCTCCTCTCAGGATTTGGGGTACACATGCACATGCACCCAGCGTGAGTTTTAAGCCACCAGGTCTGGGACTAGAACCACAAAACTATATGGGAGTCCAGCAACATAACTACTATGCCATCTGCTGGTCCCTATTGTTAGGGTTTTTATTTTTGCTGTATTTTCTCAGAGACTGTCTCTTACTGACTACTTTCTATCATTTTATTCAGAGTGGTAGATGCTGAGGTACTTTTCCATTAATTATTATTGTATTTATTTTTAAAGAAATATTTATTTAATTTTATTTATTCATTTATTTTAATTTGACCAGAGGAAGACACAGAAAGAGAGAAAGAGAGAACAAGCCACCAGGTCCAGGACTTGAACGTGGTGGGCCTCGTGGGAGTGTCCAGCACCTTAAACACCACGCTACCCACTGGCCCCTAAAATGATTGTTAAAAGTCTTAATTTTTACAAAATGTGTTTTGTTCAAGTAAGAGACAACCTAATACCTTAGATGAGGGTAGACCCTTAAGCAGTTCAGCATTAGCACAAATACACTGTTCTTCTAAAAGCAGAGTGAGGACAAGCTGGAGGCTCTGACCCATCTCTGCAGACTCCCCTGCCAGCCCTGCGCAGTCCCTGAGTGGGCCTCTGTTTGGGCACCAGCCTTTTCCCAGGCTCGCTTGCAGGATGATTCCTGAGCAGCAGATCAATGCGGGCATCATCTGGTTTGAATATCCCTGTTATGTAGGAGGCCATTGTGGCACCTAAGGACGGAGGGGAAGGAGAAGAGGAAGGCGAAGAGGAAGAGGAGGAGGAGAACGTGGAAGACGCGCAGGAGCTCTTAGACGGCATAAAGGAAAGCATGGAACAGAACTCAGGTAACTGCAGCAGCGCAGAGCGGCGCCCGCTTGTTACCCGGCTGCTGGAAACGGCTGGTCATAAAAGACCACCTGTTTGCTTGGGAAAGTACAGCAGCTGGCGGGTTTGGCACAGCGGAAGTGCACCGCTCAGCCACGGGGATCTGTGCGGAGAGCGTGTGTTCAGCTTGCGTCAGCCTGCACGTGCCAAGCGCACCCATGATCCAAGCTGGCTGGGAAGGCGGGAGGATAGCGGTGGGAGACCCTGTGGAGGGTGCTCGTCTTTTTCTCTGTTTTCACCCTCATAAAAGAAAGAAGCTTTAATAAAAGGGTATGGAACAGAAATTATAATAACAAGTTTCATTCATAATCTCACCCTCCAGGAAAAGAAAAGGCCTTGTTAACTTTTAGTGATTATCTGATGGTAGGATAGGAAAGAACTTCCTGGGTTATTCGTTTTCAGTTTTTGCTATAGGGTGCCTGCACTTGCCAGAGACACAGAGAGGGAAAGACAGACAGAAAGCAAGAAAGCACTCCCCCAGGAGAAGGCCACGCCACAGTCTCTCTTCTCTCAGGATATGGGGTATGCGCACATGCGCCCGACATGATTATCCAGCTGCTGGCTCTGGGATTGGAAACAGTCAGCCATGTGGGATCCTTAACCTCTACACCACCTGCCGGCCCAGCACTTTCTAAGTTTTGAGATAAATCAAATGTGTGTTCACAAGTATTTAATAAGCACCAAACATCACTAATTAAAAGGGAAAAACAAACCAAGAAAGACTATTTGCCACCAATACATACGACAAAGAGTTAATATCCTTAATGTATAAAATGCTCAGGCAGTGGAGAAGAAAATTATTAAATCTTCATAAGGAAACCTAAATGGATAATGTGGGCCATGCAGGAAGAAATACAAATAAGTGGGAAAATAGTTTTAATTGGTAATTGTAGACTCCCACACGGCCAACCATGGTTCAAGTCCTAGACTTGGCGGCGTATAAACCACACTGGGCGGGTGTGTGTGCTTCCCCAGAATCCCAGGAGAACAGAAGAGGAGGGACTGTGGCACGGCCATTCCCCCAGAGGGGTGATTTCTCACTTTCCCGCTCACTGTCTGGCAAGTGTATGTACCCTATGGCGAAAACCTAAAAAACCAAAAACCAGAAAACAAAAGCACCGTTCTGGCTCAGCTGGCAACCTGGTGGTTAAGGCAGCTGGATCCCACGTGGTAGACCATGCAGTTCAGGCCCTGCACCCCGCGGATACAAAACCATGCCCGAGGATGTGTATGTGCCCCAAACGTTCAATAGGAGAAGGGATTGTGGCATGACCACCTCCCCCCCCCGCCCCCTTGGTGGTGCTTTCTCACTTTCCTGTTCTCTAAAAACAAAACAAACAAAAAACTACCAACAACAAAAAATTCAGAGTTTTGGGTTTTAAACTGAGGTTTCTCCAACGGAACTTGCTACCCAGCAGCAAAGCAGTCAGCAGTAGTTACGAGAAAAATAAAAAACAGAGTCACTTCATGTTTACACTTAGAACCACTGAGTCCTCTGTCCAAGTAGTTATTCTAGTATCTTCTGCAGACCAGTCCAACACAGAACCAATACTTGGGACCCTTATTCAGTGTAGGGTCCCCCTTGCCACCTCTCAACCATGGGCGCATTCTCCCCTCTCTCTTCCTCTCTGTACTCCTCCCTCTCATTGGCGGCCGTTTCTGGTCCTCTGGGGCTGGGCTGGGGCAGGTTGTGACTGGGTCACAGACAGAGGCACTGTCCCTCAAGGCTTCCTCTTCCCAGACACTGTCTCCACCCTGGTTGGGGGCCAGTTTCCCCTCCTGGCTTCACCCCACCTCCTCATAGGTGTCAGCGTCACCTGCATTCTACTCAGGGGGTGTGCTCCTGTCCAAGGCTTCTCGACTTGAAGACAGTTCCCTTGTCCTGGTCCTTACTCCTGGTTTGTCACTCCCCCTCCACGTCAAGGTCTCTGACCCCTGTGCTGCTCTCTCTTCTTCCCCAGGCCAGTTTAATCCAGTTTCCTGGGATGGAGAAAACGGGTTTGAGCCTACACCTGAGTCCACTTAAACCAGCCGCTTACATGAATCTCATCTGCTTTGGTGTGGGCTGGGTGGAGGTGAGATGGAATTTAGAATCCCAGGCAGACTCCAGGAGGAGAAGGAAGATACACAGAAAACACAGGATACCTACAGAGTGCTGCCTCTGCCTTGCCTGTGGGCATGTGAGAGTCATGTTTTAGAGCATCTGAAAGTCCTTGCACTCGCCTTCGCCTTCGCCTTCGGGGCAGAGAGACAGATAAGACATTCCACCGTGAAGACACTTGGGAGGGAAATCTGACAAGGCCACACTGAGGGTGGAGGAATGGGATTTTCTTAACCCTGATGGCTGGCTGGAACCCACAGGGCCCGGAGCTATGAACGGTGCGGGCCCTAGAGGACAAGCGTCTTCTGTACCGGCTTACAGAACCAGACAAACCGTGGACATCGAACGCTTTTTTGATGGCCAGAGACTTACATGATAATGGCTGGGGTGAAGTGCTGGCAAGAAGTGCAGAAGGGACAGTGCCTGCGGAGAACAGTCAGGACCCAGCTCAGGATGGGCCTGTTCTGAGTGGGAGAAACTTCTTCCCCCAGGTGCAAGGGAGGCCGAACAGG